CACGGCATGCCAAGTTATTGATGAGTGGTTTTCGAATTGGTCCTAGCCAGAGCACTTGGCAAATCAATTCATTAGTCTGCCCTGCCCTCCAACACTTGCTCTTACAAATAGTGTTGCGAAAGTCTCTCTAAAATTATGAAAATGATAGTTTAGTTTAATACTAACAATAATTGTTATTTAATTTTTTTTTTTCGTTTACCGATCTTATTTAATTTCTTACTCTACCCTTTGCTTTAAAGAGTTGAAATCTTGAGAAGTAAAAATTGCTTTTAAAATGTAAACATGATTTATTTTTAAGTGGGTCTTAGAAATTTTTGGGGAATGTTAAAAGTTAAAACTAAAATAAATTTATAATTTAATTTTTAATTTTCAGACAATGAATAATTTGTTGTGTTTCCAAAATTTTGGTAAAGCATTAGATATTTCCAACCGAAAATAAATTGTACCTAGACTCCTTCCTGTTGTTCGGTTGGAATTTGCTTGGAAGATATGTGTCTGGCCACCGCTGAGCATATTCTAATGAATGAGCGGTGTGGATGAGAATCTGGCACACATTGCGTATGCGTTATGTGGATTCAGGTCGCCATCCCGGCTAAATTTTTGTTGTTTTTTTTTGCTCGGCCAGTTTTTGCTTGTTGTGAAAATAAATTCTGGTGACACAATTGCAGCATTGCGAGTTCATTGCACGGCTTAATTATTACCAGCCAATGCAAACCGGCAGAACTGAAATGGAAATTGCCCAGCTTAATTGATTTCCACTCATAGTTGGGCCCAGCAATTTTCCATATTTTTATTGCACTTCAATGCCCAGGCCAACGGCCCACGCAGAAGCTTTCGGTTTCCGACCTTGACTGGTCAGATATTGAATTATTTATGTACCTATAAATATAGTTCAGGGAGAACTCTGGCATATACATACATTTTGGCTTTCCTTCATTTTGACGATAAGTTCCAAACTGAAAATAAAAATACACCGACGGCGGGCGACAACAAAACGAAGACGACGTCAACGGAATGGAACACAACGAAACGATACGAAACGAAAGCGACAGAGCAGAAATCCAATCAAATCAAACAGGCGGAGAATATAACGTATACGTATAGGTAGCCCACATGACAGACAGTTGGATGGGTTGAAGAAACGACGGCACAAACTGAGTACTTAAATCAAAGGCAAAAGTTAAGGAACTTTTGCCACAACACAAACACGAGCACCACTCATAAATAATGAAAGTACGGACAAGAATGAGTGAACGATTCCGATGAGCCTCGAACCACATAAAACTCTGATGCCGATGGGAATGAGATGCAGACCATCGGGAGACCCGACACAATGTAAACAATAGTGGCAACATGTTGCCAGAGAAAATCTCTTGATCTCTTTGTGAATGAACATGGCGGAACAGAGAACAAGACCAAAAAGGGACAAATCTTTACCAATCACTGGTGCCATACAGGTCAAAAATCGGGTCAGTGCTGTGCCCGTGCTGGGAATTGCTCTATTTGTTTGGGGACTCGATGCTGGAAGGCCTGCAATTAGGTCAAAGTTTGTTTTACAAACCGCTGGTCATGTGATGGGATGCGATTTGTTGCTAATTGGAAATCAATCAAACCACCATTAGCCGTGCTATTTTTTGTATTTTTTTTGGCAGCCTCCTCCAACCGATCAGAGACCAGTTCCGCTGCCAATTACCAGCAATTTTCACCTAGTCTGAATCATCGGTTCTCTTCGCCATGCTAATTTACCGTCTAATGCTAATTTAATGCTAAGTTTTTACCGTCATTTTAGGTTGAACATTTTAGCACAGGTTGGCTAACAGGAATTTACCCCTGGTTTCTACACTGCATGATTTGTCAATAAATTATACAAAAGTAGCTGCAATATCAAATTGAAGCGAGCTTGAGGAGCTTATTGATTTATGGTTCATAATATAATAATCATAAATGTGCCTGCTAAGAATAGCAGCTGACTTCACAATTGACTGATGTCTAGAGCCGTAATAATACATTAATGCAGGAAACCATTGCCAAGATAGACTAGGTAAGCTAGGTAATATTTTATATAATTTATTTAGAGACAAGTGCAATTGAGAACCCTTTAACTATTAAATTAATAAAATGACATAATAACATAAAGTTATTATGTTTTTGGCTTTCAATCGTAGTTTTAATGTTTAGATAGTATTGTTAAGGCATTGTCTAGGTAGTTTCCCAATAAACTCAAAGAGCAAAGGTCTCAGCGTCATAAACACAAACGCAGAATTATACAACAGATCTTTTACTTATCAGCGGGGTTGTTAAATAGATAAAGTCGCTACACCAATTGTTTCCAAACCGTCGATAAGATAACGAAACCATATGTTTACTGCCCCATCATATGACCCATGTGACGTTTGAAGAACGGTCTACGTGCCCTGAGCCCAGTGTGCAGTACTCACTGCTACAAGGGGACTTGAACTTGGCCTCTTTGCTGTTTTAATTGCCTATAACAAATTTCCGGCAAGTGGCAATCACTGCGTTCTATGCATTCCCCGGAGATAAGAACCCGGCTCTTTTTTTAGGCCGTCTGCGAACGGGAACACAAACGGTTTTTTGTCTAGCTTTTATTGTTGGGAAATAGGCACGAAATTTTGTTGCGCTTGTTTTTCACTTTCATCAGTCATAAAAGTGGCTGTAGATCACGTTCGTTCTATGGTTTATTTTAATCTTGATCGATGCAACGGCTAGCGGTACTTCACAAAAGCCCCAGCTTCGTTGGATTCACAACCGGTTTGGCAATTCACATAGCCAGATCCACGCCCATTGTGCTCGGCTAACAGAAGATGCCGCTAGCCAAGTTGATGGGTCTCGTCTAGGTTCGTCTGGTCTGTTTATTTGAATGCCAGGCAATTCACAAGATTCCGAAATCCATAAGTTAACTTGTGTGGAAATTTCTATTTTCCCAATGCAGAATTTCCTATGCCCTAGCGAAGGTCAAGAATGACTAAGAATGAAACTAAAATAAAAGAGCTGAAGGTTTTGAGATAGAAAAACTATTCAAAATTCTCAAAGCTTTTTTTTAAACTATGGTTTTTGTTGTTCAGAAAAAATTTGTTTCATAAATGAAGGGCAAACTTTATGTTGGTCATGGAAAAAAATGATTGAGATATTTGGAATTCTACAATATTTTTAAGAATAAGAATTATTAGCTATAATGAAATGGAAAAATAATAAAGCTGTTCCTTGAACTAGTAAATTTACGTATTGTTAAATTCTGTATGTTTTTTTAAAAGGCAGAATAAGTTAATCAGTTTATTAAAATTATTTTTAAAATTTGTTAAAATCTATACAATACAAGACAAGTAAACATTTAATGTCGTCTAAAAATTCCTTCTATGGGCTACTTATTTATGTTTCAAAAATTCAAACGCTTAAAGCAGTCTAATTGCAAATGTACACCAATCTAATTTGACACACACAAAGTGCTTAAAAGTCTTAAAAGAAGGCAAATTCAATTAACCACTTAAATGGTAACCCCCAAGTTCACAGATTTCGCGGCGTTCTGCATATTAAATTGATCTACCCAGTGCTTTAGTACTACCCCAATGGCCAGACAATTGTGTGATATTAGTGGGCCATTGCATTTGATTGCCGATTTCCGTTGGACTGGGTCTAGGCAGGGGCCTGGGAACTTTGGAGTCGGCTTGTGCATACTATACGAGGGTATACTATAATTGGGGAACCGCTTACCCGCTGCGGCGCCAAAACAGAGAACTTGTCATGGTTTTTGGTCGCCGTTCAATTTGGCAGGCAATCATAAGTAATGTTCTTAGTCCCCTGCACATATGTATGTAGTTCAACCAGCCCCACGGAATACGACTTGTTCTATATTCGTCAACGACTGTCATTACAGCACCCACGCGGCGTATGCGTAATGCGCGGCTAATTTGTGGGGCATTGCGATGTGGGCATGCATCCATTTGGACTTGATGGGCCTACCTTCGTCCCAGGGATGATGATGCTGCTGCTGATGCTGCTGCTGCTGCTGGTGAGGATGCTCATCCTGAGCTGGCCGAGATTTGCGTCCTTTTTTAGAGCGTTTCGACTCCATTTTGTTGCTGCCACTGACTGAGATTTACTTTTTGGCTACAAGACACGCGCGTAAATAGAATAATATATACTTTTATGTCGGATGGACCGAGTGTGTGTGTTTTTTTATGTGCTCGTGGTTTATCTTCGGTGACGCACACACAAGTGACATTTGCCAAACACACACAGTCCCGCACACACTTTGTCGCGTTTTTTTCGAACTTTGCGTATTTTTTGTCGCTTCGATTACTTGGCGCGTATGCAGATACTCTTGTATACGTATGTATATATATACACATATATATATCTATCTGGCGAGAATATATTTTAGATTTAAAATTTTTCCCAAGTTATTTATAATGCGGTGATTTAATTTAACACACACTCGGTCACTTTTCATATTCCTTACTTGCCAAAAAATCACGAGAAACGGCGACAACGCTTTTCCTCAGTCCGATTGTATTCCAAAAAATTAACTATGAAACTCAATTGAATGGGCATTACGTGACAGCGAAGTTGGCTCTAACGATTAGTACGGATAATTATGAGTTCTCCTTCTAACTGCCGCCGCTGGACTGCCGAACCGCTGGACAGTTGGGAAACCGCTGGCCGGTCGGCTCGTTTATTACTGTTCGGGTTAGTAATATCTATATGTACGTAGCATTAGCATTCGAGAACTGAGCGAGAAGTTGGCTAATGAAAAGTGAATGAAAATCGCGCACGGAGTCCGCTGATCCGTCCATGCGTCGTCGTTGTGGTTTTGTTATTTGTGTTTTTAGTTTTTAGTGTCGATTTTGTCGTCGATCGTGGATCGTTTGCCGTGCCGTACCGCGCGCGACTAATGCCGACTAAACCTGCGCACAGTATGCCATCTCGGAAAGCTTTTCGGTAGGTTTCACTTTTGGACCGTGTTGTTTTTTGTCACTGGTCACACGCCGCGAGCGTTTATTCCGTGTGTTCTCTGGCCGAAAATTGTATTTTCACGGAGCCGCTCTCCGGCGCTCCGGTTTTCCGGCATTCGTCAGTGGAACTGCACATGAACTGCACTTGCCTATCACACACTATATAGCGTATTTTTAGAGGTATAGCCTCTGCCATCTCGAGTTGGTTGATTGCCAGCCAGATTGATGGGAAACGCTAATTGAAAATGGAAGGAATTGATTGTGGGGCTAACCATTAGCATAGGGAGTTTCACTGATCGGTTTTGAGATTGGCAGATGTGTTCGATTTTTTAAGACTTAACAGATTGAATTCCAAAATAATCTTTTATTAAACACGTGGTGAAGTTCTAGCCATTATTAAATGGTGCCATAAAGTCTAACATATTGGTATTGCTTATACATTTTGTTCATTTAATGTGTCTGCGAAAATCAATAAATCTGTTGTGAGGTCTAGATTGTTATTTGTATAAGTATGTAAATTAAATATATTTATTATATAAAAAGTATAGTTAACTTTTCTAAAACTCTTTTTTTCTTTCCCTTAGAAACGTTTTTTTAGCAAAATAAAATTTTAAACTAAATCTTATCTATACTAATAATGGCTTGTAATTTAATGGTTTAGCTAAAAAGCAAATGTTTGCCTTCCTCTTTTAGCTCAAAATCACCTTCATAATTTACTCTTTCATTTTTGAGAGAACTGAGATGTGATGCATTGCCAAACTCCCCTTATAATCCCATGGAATTTCATCATAATTCCAATTATAAAACTTTAAACTTATCTGGGGTGCATTAAACCATGATTACGATTATGAAACAGAAAGTTCATCAAAAGTTTTGTGCAGTGGACGCGACAAGTTCAAGTTGTTGAGTCGGCAGATTGCATGTTTTGTATTTCAGCCATGTTTATGAGGACCCTACAACCAGCAGAGTAACAGTCCAACAGCCCAGCAGTCGGGTTCAATTGCCGCACTACCAGCTGCCATCGGAGGAGATGCCTTTGTGGGCCACTAACAGTGGCAACTGCTGCTCATCAAGTTCATTCCACTTGGCATTAAGTGCGCCCGAACAACAAACATCCCAAGAATGCTGCAACAGACACTGACAGTGAGATCTGTTTATAGACCCGGTCGGCATTTAATTGCTGGGAAAGTGTACAGTGTTGCAGGGTGGAACGAATGTTGCGCCTTAGTTGATTACATAAAAAGTGATGGTGCGGCCAGCGTTCAAGCCGTCCCCTGATTAATCAGGCACAAAGCAAGTCATTAAATTGGCATTAGTCGAGGCAATTTGGCCAACACCAGGACATTCTACACACAGCTAACACAGGTGCAGTGAGTGGGATGAGTCTGAGAGTCGTGGATTAAAGCTAAACATGGAAAAGCGTGCTTGACACAACAGCGATAACATATCCAGATTCAGTTCCAAGGAAACCTACAATACGAACTGTTTCCTCATTGGGTTGAATTCTAGGTTGATTGACACGATATTGAGGGCTGGGATCCTTGGCAACATTCACCCGGTTAGATGCCATTAATCAAACGCACACACGTGAGCAGCTCCACCTGTCAGGAGCGACTTATTTATGAGGACATTTATCGATTTGCCTGCCGAATTGTTCAATTATTTGGGCTACACCTGCCCCTCGAACACCGAAATAGACACTGAAACACCACTGCACATTCGGCTTTGCCTTTTTCCTTTTCCTACCCCAGGCCCATCAATTAATTATCCTTTTTAGCCTTCCGCTGGGCAACACACTTCCGTATCCGTATCCGTATCCGAGTCCGGCTCGGAATCCGATATATCCGCCAGCAGGAGAACGCACTGCGATGGACACCGACTGCGGCACTGATGGCTTTTGGGCTCGGTCGCCGCCACCTTTACAATTCCATTTAGACCGAAACCGAAACTGACTGGTTGACTGGTTGACTGGTGGCTCTGTTTATGTTTATCCCTGCGCCTGCACTGCCCTTTCATGTTGCTGTTGTTGTAGTTGTTGCTATTGTTGCCGGCATCGGCAGCGGTAGACCGTCCTTCTGCCGTTGGTGAATCATGCGCACTGTTGGCTGTTGGGACTGTTGCCCACTGCAGGAATACCCTTTGATATGCAGGTCTAGGAGCTATTCTGTTGACCTGCTTCAGGATGGGAGATTACTTTACGCAGTCACTGTTTGGTTGCTTCTAAGGGCCATTGGAGAATCATGCGCACACGGACGCGGTTTGTCTAAGAGATGGCGGGTGGATTTAAATTATAACTCAAAATGGTAAGTAAATTTAATGTATAATAACAATACCTTTGATTTTTGGTTTTATTCTATGATTACCAAATTTTAATTTCGTCTTTGAATGAGAAAATTAAACCAATTAGATGATAACAGTGAATTGGCGGGATCTGTTGATTTTAAAATTTTAAATAGAGCTAAAGGCAAATTAAATTGTTTTTTCTACGTTCAAGCTTTATGATCTTATTTTAAGTTATACAAAAGTAATACAAAAGTATGTGTTAAACTTAATTTAGACTTTTGAACATATATCCAATCATAAATTAAATTTAATACTCACAAAATTCAACAAATAAAAGTAATTAGAAGAACACGATTTTCTAGTCTTATAGATTTAGGATTTCTGGAAAGTTTGGTTTATTTAATTATTATAAGAAACATTTGGAAGTTTCGTTCTAATAATTGTATTATATATACCAGTTATATATTTCTTGATAAAAACAAAAATGCCTTGCTAAATATTGTTGGCGATCGTAACGGTTTCATTTATTATTCGGCTTTACTCGCTGATCTCGCTGGCGTTGCCATATGGCCCCCACTTGTTTGAATGCTACTCGCTGACTTTGTGTGCGAGTGCGAACAGCTGATCGAAGTTAGATAATAGTATATTGGCCCCCAAAAATCGAACGACAACATGGCTCTCAAATTTGTGGCCCAGTCATGCAGATCCTTGCTGCAACGTGGCGATCGTCCCTTGTCCTGGACCCGCACACTCAGCCATTATCCCGTCAACGATGCCATGTTTGGTCTGGACGAGGATCGCCAGAAGTTGCGGGAGGTGGCATTTAACTTCTTCCAGAAGGAACTGGCTCCTCTGGCCAAGGAGATCGATAAACTGGATAACTTCAAGGACATGCGTCCCTTCTGGAAGAAACTGGGCGATCTTGGCTTTCTGGGCATCACAGCAGAGCCAGACTTTGGAGGCACTGGGGGCAGCTACCTGGATCACTGCATCATCATGGAGGAGTTCTCGCGGTAAGCTAAAGACCCATCCTCTGTCATACCCAAATAAGAATCTTCAAATCCTTATCCACCAGTGCGGCTGGTGGCGTGGCCCTGTCCTACGGAGCCCACTCCAATCTGTGCATCAATCAGCTGACCAAGAATGGCACTCCCGAGCAGAAGGAGAAGTACCTGCCCAAGTTGTGCAGTGGCGAGCACATTGGCGGACTGGCCATGTCCGAGCCAGGAGCTGGATCCGATGTGGTGTCCATGAAGCTGCGGGCCGAACGCAAAGGAGACTACTATGTGCTGAACGGATCAAAGTTCTGGATCACAAACGGATCCGATGCGGACACACTGGTGGTCTATGCCAAGACAGGAGGCAGTGGAGTTCCGGGCAAGCACGGCATCACCGCCTTCATAGTGGAAACGGCCTGGGAGGGATTCAGTGTGGCACAAAAGCTGGACAAGCTGGGCATGCGGGGCAGCAGCACCTGTGAGCTGGTCTTCCAGGATCTCAAAGTGCCGGCCAAGAATATTTTGGGCCAGGAGAACAAAGGTGTCTATGTGCTGATGTCGGGACTAGACTTGGAACGGCTGGTGCTGGCCGCCGGACCTGTGGGTCTGATGCAGGCCGCCTGCGACGTTTCCTTCGACTATGCCCACCAGCGCAAGCAGATGGACCAGCTGATTGGCGAGTTCCAGCTGCTCCAGGGCAAGATGGCCGATATGTACAGCACGCTGAGTGCCTGCAGGAGCTACCTCTACACGGTGGCCAGATCCTGCGATGCGGGCAACCGCAGTTCCAAGGATTGCGCTGGTGTTATCCTCTACACCGCCGAGAAGGCCACCCAAGTGGCCCTGGACGCCATTCAGATCCTCGGTGGCAACGGCTACATCAACGATAATCCTACAGGTCGCATCCTGCGAGATGCCAAGCTGTACGAGATTGGCGCCGGCACCTCTGAGATCAGGCGCTGGCTCATTGGACGCCAGCTGAACCAGGAGTACAAGTAGGATTCCAAGGCAGTTCCAGAAATGCATTTATGGTACGACAACTATGGCAATTATGTGGACCAACTATATTACCTGACAGACTTAATGTTGCATTTATACTTTTTAAGACGATTTGTGAAATCAGTTAGCTATCAATCAATGTTACATGTGCCTTAATAAAAAATGTTTCCAAGACTCAAAACACATCTAACCCCTTGTTAAAGTATTATATTTTGTTTTTATTAATTTACAAAAAATACACAATTAAAATATGCAACTGCATACACGACTCGCATACGTACGTATATACAAAGAGAAATAAAAATTAACCGTAGAACATAGATTGACTATTCTACGTATCGTTGACAAAACAAGAGGTTTCTTACGTTAGAAAATAATATTCCATGTTTAGTGCACAGTAATAAATTGCATCGAAATAACAACAAAGTGAAGAACCAATTTTTGTAAGTGTTACGCTCATTAAGGGTTAATTGTAATTTCGTTGAATTTCAAGAGGTTCGCATCGTGTATCGATATATATTGGCAATTAAATGGCAGATAAGCACGTAGAACACAGATTTACGAAAACATAGAAGGATCGAATAGCGATATTAGGTTGTTAATATTAGGCTGATTATATGGTATGGGTAGAGGCATATAGATGTAGTTTCGCTAGTGGCTAATTACAATTAATATTAAATTACTTCTATTAGTATGTGTACGGGTGTGTGTAAACGTTAAAAGCACTTTTGGCAAACATCGACATGCTCCTATGCTCGTATGCTCGTCCCAAGCTAGAACATTTACTTAAGCAACTAGAATCGCCTCTCAGCCTGGAGAGCTGAGCCTAGTCCAATCGAAAACTATGCTTCTCCGTCTTGGTCTCCGAGCGGGATTCCGTTGTTGTGGTGAAGGACTTGCGCTCCATCACGCGCTGTGTCATGGAGGTGAGTCGCTCCGAGCCCTGGTCCACAATGCTGATCTTGCCGCCATCGGTGTTGAGGGTCATCTGCGAGAAGCTCGACTCCAGGGGCTTGACCATGCCGAGTTCACTGCTGCTGCTGGTGGTGTTGTTGGCCGACTTGTCAAAGTTTCGCGTCTCATATCTGCGATTCGTTAACAAAGAAATTAGCAAACGCATAGAGATAGCTTAAGAAGGCAAACCCACCTGGATGTGTATCCCTCGTAGCTTTGACCTGGATAGCCATTTCCGCCCGTCAGCTGCACTACGCCGCCCTGGCCAAAGGTCTTGTCGTGCAGATCCTGCACACACGCCTCCAGATTCCGGCTGGCAGTGGGCTTCTTTGGCACCGCCGGTGGAGATGAGTTAAGCGTTTTAATGCTCGACGACGACTCAAAGCTTTGCTGGTAGTTGGTGTTAGTGGGTGTGCCCGAGGTGGTGGGTGCGGTGGTTAGGCCATTGCTGCCGCCCGCCGGACTGCCCGGATAGGGTCGAGGCACGGCATTGGCTGTTAGCTTGGGATTAGGGCGAAAACTGTGACCCGACGTGGCCGTTTGCATGTTAGAAATGGTCGTGGACAGCGGTGGTGGCGGCGGCGGGAAATCTCCGTTGGCGTCGTCCATCTGCGGATAGTTGGACGGCGGCGGAGACACCGCTCCGGGATGATGGAAGTGCTGCGGCTGCGGACTGGCGTAGTTGTAGTGGTGCTTCTGCTGCTGCTGCTGCTGGCCACCGGACAAGTAGCTCGGCGAGCTGGGCATTTCGCTGGAACCGTAGTAACCGCTGCGACCCAAAGTCTGTTAGGGTTAGGGGTTAGAGAAGAGAAGAGAGGAGAGATACTGCCGGTTAGACTGGTTACGTGTTAGATTGGCTAAGCCCCAAGCCCACACCAAATTAGAATTAGACTACTTGAAGGAAAGAAAAATGGTGCCTCAATTTTGCCATCGATCTCAATGCCAATTTTCTTTCGCCGGTGCGTTTGCAAACTAAATACAAATTCTAACAAATGGTAAATGAAAAAACGTTTCTCATACATTGTTCTGGCTCTTGTTGAGCGTTCCGTAGGCGTACTCGGGTTCACTCTCGTCCGTGGTGAATCCCTGGCCATTCTTGCCGTAGCGCTTGGCCTGGCGCACATACTTCAGACGCTCGCGCGCCTCCGCCAGCTCCTTCTCCTTGCGCAGCACGGCGGACCGGGCGTTGATCTCCTGCGCCATGCCGTCCACCATCGACGTGTTGATGCGCAGCGAGTGCTCCTCCTCCGCCTCCAGGCCCTGTTGGGCGGCCTGCACCAGGTTGTCGGTGGACTTGATCACCGAATTGCCGGCGGCCTGCAAACGACGTCCGGCCTCCGAGTTGGGATTCGATTTCACCTTGCAGGCAATCAGCAGTTGGGCCGTGGAAGCGGCCACCTGCTTGGCCGTCGAGATGAGCATCTCCTCGGTGCCCACGCCGCGCACCAGGTTTTGGGCGGCCTCCACCAGGCTGTGCGTGGCGGCAGCCACGAGGCGAGCGGCCGACACTAGACCCTCGGACCACTGGCCATCCACGGAGCTCGTCAGCGGACGATGGGCCACCTTGCCCGTGTCGATGAGTTCCCGCTGGGCGGCGTTTGCAGCTCGCACCAGAGCAGCCGACGCTGCCATGATGCCCTTCGCGGCCTCCAGGATCATTTCGTCAAACTTCATGTTCTCATCGAGCTCGATCTGTGGGACAGAAAAATCAAAGGCGGAATGCCATTAGAAACTGGACTCAACGGGGCAGTAAAAGCAATGAACAGTCAATCACCAGGCGGTTTTAGTCGAGGTCTCGAGCTGAGTTGTTTTAGTAGATTGGCGAGGGTCACAGTAATAATATGTTTGATTCCTGGGTGAACTTTTGAATGAAACAACCAAGAATATCAAACATATCTCACTGGAACCATCAATTAGTTGGTTTTGAAGGACTAGTTAGGGGGAAAATCAAGCACCGCTTACACACTAAGATGAGTTAGTTATCCTTTACCATTTATAGCAATGAAGGAAATATAAAAAACGAAACCCACCTTGACATCTGCCTGGCGACGTGGACGCAGTGAGGCCAGCTTCTTGGCCGCCGCATCGATGGAGGCAGCGGCGCCCAGCAGTTCGTTCTCGGCGATGACCGTGGGATCCTCGGGATCGATCCAATCGGAACCCTTGAGCAGCCTGGCCATGGCCACCAGATCGGTGACGCACTTGGCCACGCGTCGCGACAAGTGCATGCGATCGTCGGCACTGCAGCTGTGCAGAATGCCACTGAGGAGGTCGCGGTAGGACTCGCCAACCGCTGTGCCCGCCTCCAGAGTGCGCGATCTTAGCTCCTCCGTTTCGGCACAGTTCCAGGCCACCGAGCGGCAAACGATCAGCATGTCGGAGATGGCACGGCGTCCAAGGTTGGCGGCCGACACGATGTCGGCCTGCAGATTGGAGGTTCCGGCCGCAACGGCCTTGGCTGTGGCCGCCGTCACATTCATGGTCACTCGGATCAGTTCCTCGGGTCCCACCTGGGTATTGCCCACCGGTGGGGTGGTGTGCATGGCCTGCAAGACAAGGAAAGTAAGGAGTTAATAGATGATTCTCAAGATCTGATTCTTCTGGAACAGGAAATCTTTTGAGAAACTTACCCGAATCTCCTGGGAGATGGCTTCCACGGTGGCCTCCATGGCGCGAGTTCCGCGCGTGTGCTCATCCTCCACAGCCTTCACAGTCTTCAGCAGCGAGGACACATTCAGCACCATCACCTATTTGTTTTCGAATGTTAAGTTTTTCGTTTTTTTTTTTTTTTTTTTTGGGGGGGCAGAGCAGAAATGTTGATGATTAATGTTTGGTCAGAAAAGTAGGGGATTGGAGAGTTGGAGAGAGTTACTTATAGATAGTAAATTGTCTAATGATACAAACTACTCTACCACTATATATGATATGATATACTACTACTACTACTATTACTACTACAACATTCTAAATGGCTTTGGCACTCTTACAAATCAATATAAAACTAAATTAAAGTCAAATGATATTCCAATTGGTTTTTATTATACGCATAAGTAATAAGAATTAGTTTAAAAATGACTTGGTAACATTGAGAAGAGATAAATGGGAACTTCTAGGCGCCAGGTAAGCTTTTTTATTCGTTATAAATTCAGAGGATTCACTTCAAGAGGACTTCATTTACGTTGCTCTTCCCAGCACTTAAAAGTTCTCTTACAATCAGTTTGAATTCAATTCATGTTTCATTGTGCAAAATGGATTAATGCATATAGAATTTGGTCGCAGAATTTCAGTTGGCCATGATGTCGATGCCGGTGCTGCTGCTGCTGAGGAGGAGGTGGCTGCCACTTCGCATTTCTGACTGAGGGTTAGTTTCTGAATGGCCATTGTGGTGGGCAGCTGCTTGGCAAACATCTTGAAGCGTCTGCTTATTTTTTGATTGTTTGAATTTTAGATTTTTTGTTTCGATTTGTACATACATACATAGACATGTATAAATATATGCGGATGAATGGAGTTTTTGGTTTGATATCGATTTGATAGCAGATTGTTTCCCACAGCGAGCGCAGCGCATGAAGAGAAGGAGGAGCGTGGAGCGGTTTGAATTCGATTTGCATTTTTGTACAGTTCATGAGTGGTATTTTTTGTTTGGTGTGTTTGTTTTTGTGGGAAAAGAAAGAAGAGCAGATACGTCGAAGGCGTACAACGAATTAGCAAAACGAAAAAACGTACATCAATTTATGGATTTTCCCATTTGGTTTCTTTTTACAAACGTTGGAAGTGGTGGTTGTGGTTGAGTGGTTGGGTGTTTGGGAAGGGTGGGTGTTCGGGTGTTTGGGTGTTCAAGTGGTTGGGGTACCTCGGTGGTTGAGAGAGCGCAGCAAGCAGAGCCGGAAGGGATGGGATGGTACGGGTATGACCAGTGGGTTAGAGCTGGGCCAGAAGAAGGGTGTTTGTTGCCGCCGATGCCGCCAGGGAAATAAGTCGAGTAGTGGGCTTTTTTTCATGGGTGCGTTCGGGTTCGGTTAAACATTGATAACATTAATAACATTAAAGCAACAGCAACGACAACACTGAGTGGCGGCAGAAGCTTTAAGGGGGAGCAGGATGCGAGAGTGACGCATTTCAGTGGCATCGCTTTAAAACATAGAGTATATCAGTCAGCAGCAGCAGAGTTTTTTTTTCGCTGGGTTAATCCAAATATACACAGATACATTTATGTGGTGGGTTTTTATTTTTTGGGGGAGCGGACATGTGAATTTCCTTCTTTTTTTTTGTTTTTAAATGTATGGGTAGATGAGTGCCAAAGCCATTTGATGTTTATTTATGTTGATTTTTCATTATGCCACAAACAACATTTATGTATGCGCTTTACATATTATGCATGGAAGAAAATATATTAAATAATATATGGAAATAATAAATAAAGTTCAATCTTTAAATACTCGTCCGTACACATTTGTCTTCTTTTTAAATTTGCTATAAAATTTAGGAGCAAACCATAACCACGTTGAGTCAGTTACAATTTGGTGAGTGAGGATAAGAAAAACTAAAACAGAGTAATTCTCTTAACTGCTTTAAAAAGTGCATAGTAATCGGAGATAAGTTCAAATCAGTTAAGGAAATTAGCCTGCTTATACTAAAAGCCACAACAACGAAAGCCTTTTAGCAAGAGATTAAAAAAACTACGTAAGACTAAGAGAAAGAGAGAGTGAGAGAGAGAGAGAGAGAGAGAGAGAAAGGCAGAGGGGAAAGTAAGTGGGAAAGTAGGTGCTTACCCTGGCGCTCTCCTTAAGATCCTGCATGGAGGGATCGTTGATGGACTTGCCAGAGGCCAGTTTGGTGCAGTTTATCAAATCGCCCAGGGCCGAAGCCACATCCTTGACGGCATTGATGACCATGACCTGGGAATCGGGTTGCGAGGATCCCAGCGAGCAGGCTCCCCGCTTCACTGCCTCAGCCAATTGAGCTAAATTGGCAAAAATAAATGGGATAAGTTAGTTTCCATTCATAGATCAACAATTAATTACAACTCACTTATGGTTGAGACCGCATTCTGAGCTGCATTGGCCAGCTGATCCTGGGTGCCAGCCGCTCCGGTCACCAGCACCTTGGTGTCCTCCACCAGGGCCTTTGCCGTCTGCAGGATGTGCTCGCGATGGTCAGCAAAGCTGCCATCCCCGTCCGAGTGCAGAGTGCCCGCGGTGGCGAACATAATGGTTGTGTCCAGGTCGCCGATGATACCGGACACCGTGTGGGCGGCATTGATGCAGGCCTGGGTGCCTCGGGAGCCCGCCTGCAGGGCGGCCAGCACCTGGGCCACCTTCTCGGACACCTCGCGAGCACTGCGCGCTATGTCCTTCTGGGCACTCACATCGTTGGGTCGTGCTCCGCCCGCCGACGACTGGATCATCGAGCTGACCGAGCGGCCCAGGTCGATGACCGTGGTGCGGATGCGCATGGCCACGTCCGGTGATGAGGTGGTGGTGCTCGCACCCACCGAGTCCTGGGTCAGCTGCTGATAGTGCTGTGTCATGTCCACGGCAAGTTGGGGCAAAGCGGCCGGCTCCACGCTGCTCTTCGCGTTCATCTCGTTGGCCAAACTGGCGATCTCCTTGGCCCGCGCCACCATGCGCGTCTGGTAGTCCACGAAGGTGTCCGAGTAGGAGGCGTTCAGCAGGGATTGCCGCTTGTCCGTCAGCCGGGTGATGGACCGGTTGATCTGGTCCATCAGTCCCGTCACGATGCCCGTCTCGGCGCTGATCTTCTCCACGGTCTGCTGCAGCTCCTGGATGGCCTCCCTGGTGCCATCGATGGCCTCGTCCAGTCGCGGATGGGCCTGAGTGGCTCGCGGATTGCCAGCCGAGTCTTTGGCCGACTGCACCAGCGTGATGGCACTCTCCACCACCGAGCGTGTCTGCTGGATGAGCGACATCTGCTGCTGGCTGTGCACAATGTGGGTGCAGGCTCCAATCGCTCCGTTCACCATGGGCACCACATAGCGCGAGATTTCGCCCACGGCGTGACCCAGCTGCTCGGCATTGTTCTTGCCGGCCACCCGAATGGGTTCCAGTTTATCCACCAGCTCGGAGGCAGAGTTCATTGTCTGCCCACTGAATCCGTGCAGATTGTTATCCCGCCGCTGGCTGAGACCCTGGGCATTGACGGCCAGCGCACAGCTGTCCAGCTCGCGGGTGCAGGTGCCCAGTGTGTGCAGCACCTGCTCGCACTGGGCCTGTCCGGGCGCCTTGTCGCGAATGTTGTCCACCAGTCGCTTCACCGACTCCGAAACCGGCGTGGAGTGCATCGAGAGCTGCTGCCACACGGGCGGATTGTCGGGCGACAGGGCCAGCGACTTGGCCGCCTTGACCATTTCCACGACGCCGTCGATTACACCGCGTCCCGCCTGGATGACCGGCTCCTGGGCCTTCCTGCCCTCCGCCGATATCTTGGCCGGCACCGAACTGAACTCCGGACTGGAGGCATACTGGCGCACCGCCTTCACGGCCTCCAGGAGGGGATCGACCAGACGGTCGCGACTGCCGCTGGCCGGCTGCTCTTCGATGGCCTTGATGGCCTGCACCAGGTCCGAGGTGGCCGTGGCCACCTGCTTGGCCAGCACAATGAACTCGTTCTTGGCCACCGGATTCGAGGTGTTCATCGAGGCCTGGCGGCAAATGGAGCACAGATAGCTGGTGTGCTTGGCAATCACGGTGAGGGCCGAGATCATCTGCGGCTTGGTCGACTGCTGGCTGCTCACAATGTCGCAGTGCTGCCGGATGCCCTGGTAGGCCCAAGTTAGCTGGGCCTGGTCAATGATTCCCGGCCGGCCGGCCACACTCGACGGATGCGAGACGCCAATCAGGTAGGCCGCCTGCGAAGAGCTCTCGATCAGGCCCTGGATGGAGTCGTTCACGTTGTTCACCGACTGGCTGAACTCCACGTGCTGCGACTGCTTGGCATTGTTGATCATTTCGGAGATGGCGTAGCCCAGGTTGCGCGACTTCCCAGTGGCCTGCTCCACGCAATCGAAGTAGCCCAGCTCGTTGATCGGCTCGTGCGGATAGTCGAGCATGAGGCGCAGGGCTTCAATGTTGCGCATGGCATTGTCGCACTCCTTTTGCCCGGGAGCGGACTGGATGCTGGCATCCACCAACTGATTGATGCTCTCGGTGACGCCGCGCGCAGCGGCATGCAACAGATTCTTGGCATTCGGCTGGCCGGGATCGGCGGCAATCGACTTGGCCGTCGAGAGCAGGGAACACGACTGGGTGGACACATGGCGCAGCGACTCGATCATCTGGGAGCGCACCTCCTCCTCGTGCGTCTGGCCGGCCATCTCCATGCTGACGGACAGCAGGTCCCGGTAGTTGGCCGCAAAGTTCTGGCTGCTCTCGGCCAGCAGAGCTGGCGAGGCGTACGACACCACTATTTGGCCACCCGAGCTGCTCAGCTGCTCCGCCACTTGCTTCAGCTCCGACTGCAGCGTGGCATACGGACGTCCCGAGGGCGGGAACTCGCTCATCGACAGGATCTCACTTAGATCGCTGACGTTTCTCAGAGCCACATCCACCTCACGCTGTCCGGGAATGCAGTCCACGGTGGCGGACAGGGCTCCGGTCACCTCCCTGCCGGCTTGGGTTAAAGCCTCCGGATTGGACACTCCCTGCAGCGTGCGCTGCGCCTGTTCGATGAGTCGCGCCGAGCTGGTGACCACATCATCCGCACAATCGATAATGGCCGGATTCTGGGTGGTGGCCGCCACTCCGTGCACGCTCCTGGTGAAGTCGCCCAGGGCCAGGGCAGTGTCCCGGCCCGCGGCTCCGGCATAGCTGCGCTGGTTGTGCAGCACCGAGGACAGCAGCTGGCTCAGTGCGATGCCAACATTCTTGGCCGACTTGCGCAGCTCATCGGCCGTGCTCTCCACGCTCTGTCCCGGCAGCGGACGCAGTTGGCCGGCCACAGCCGCCTGGCGAGTGTCGTCCAGCACGTCGTGCAGCTTGCGCACCTCCTCCAGGGCCGACTCCAGTTCCTGGCCGCCACAGGCATCGCGTGCCCGCTGGGCCACCGAGTGCAGCTCGGAGACACACTGTCCCAAGTGCAGGGCACCCTTGGACAGCTGGGTGGCCGATGGTATGTCGGTGACCGTGGGCTGCAGGGCTCTCGAAGATTTGGACACCTGCAGGGCCGGCTCCACGAACTGTTCGGCCGCCTCGATGAGATTCAGCTGGGCATTCGGATCGTCGGGCTGGGCACGAGTGGTCTTCAGCGAGGTGACCAGTCGCGGAATGGTGTCCGCCACCCGCTTGCAGTCCTGCAGCAGCGTCTCCTTGGTCTGATGGTCCTGGCTGTGCTGCACCGCATTCTGGGCCGCCGAGATGCACTGGGTGGCCGCTGAGGCCGCCTGCTTGGAGCAGAACTCCAGGCGCTGGATGAGACCACGCTTCATGGCCGGCGTATTGGCCGCCGTGGTGGTGATCTCGCGCAGCTCCTCCGCCGCTTTACGCAAAGCGTTCTGGTTGTCCGAGCTCTGGGGATTCGTGGAGCAGAGTCGGGCGGCCTCCACCAGCTTGGCGGTGGCATCGGCCAGCTGCTTGGCGGCGGACAGCAGATGCCGCTTCATGTCCGCATCCTGCTGCTGGTCCGCCTCGCCCTTGATGCTCTGGATCAGCTGGGCGGTGGTCTGGCCCAGGGTGCGGGCATGCCGCACCATTTCCTGCGGATCGTGGGTGGACACCAGAATGTCCGTGCCGATGATCACGTTCTCCACGGGACTCAGCTCGGTGCTGGTGCGATTGGCGTGCTCCCTGGTGCTCAGCTTCACGTGCTCCAGCATGTCGGTGAGACTCTTGGACACATCTCGGGCGGCGGCCAGCAGATCGGCCTTCAGCTTGGGATCGTTGCTGGCCTCGTTGCACACTTCGCACAGCGAGTTGACGGCTCGGGCCACGTTCCTGGCGGCCGCCTCCAGTTGCTCCCGACAAGCGGCATTGTGCAGCGTGGGGGCGACGACCTTGGCACAGGCCACCAATTGGCTGGTGGCCAGGGCACATTGACTGGCGGCGCCAATCACCCGGTTCCTGGCCTGCTCGTCCTCGCAGTTGGCGGCAATGTTCTTGGCGCGCAGCACAAGGGCGGCGGTGGTATTGGCCACCGCCTTGGCCAGCGCCAGAAGCATGTCGTGGAGGTCACGGTTCTCGGGCACCTCCTCCTCGGCAATGGTGCTCAGCACTTGGGTGGTGGCCTCGCCCACTCGGTTGGCCGCATTGATCAGGTGCTGCGGCGGCTCCTTGCTCTCCGGCTCGGCTGCCTTGAGGAGATCACTGAAGGCGTTGCACAGTTTGCGGGCAGCCTCCAGCAGTTGGTCCCCATTCGTATCGTTCTCCATCAGGGCGGCAATCAGGCGCACCTCCTTGGTAACCTCCGGAATGGTTTGGGCAATCTGGGAGACAGACGCCGAAATGGCCTCCGTATCCACTTCATCCGGATGCGAGGCGGTGATGATCTGGGCCGTGGCAGCGCTCATAGCGGCCACATGACTGCTCACCGCCTGCTTCGAAGTGTCCAAAGTATTCTCGCGCCACTCAATGGAACGCAGATCGCTGCCCAGCTCCTGAATGGGTGCCTGCAAGGGGAATTCACTCAAGATTAGTTTGCTAATCCTCCAGGGGAGCTCTCAAATCTCACCTTGGTGCGCAGCTCTTCGTCAGCGCGAATCAAGACATCCTGGCCAGCGGATATGTAGCCCAGCAGCGCTCGCTGTGGCTCCGTCAGATTCACAGAACTAATGCGAACTTCCTTAGTCTAAAGGGACACATTAAGAAAAACAAGTTAATATTTCGGTTTGCCAAAGCTTTGCTCTCCAGCAGATTGCATACTTTGTAAAACATTGGATGACCACTGGCTTTATTCGGAGATAGCAGCATGTCAGGAGAAAGGGATTAGAGAATGCTTCATGTTAGTTTGCTTCGGATGAGGTGGGTTAATGGCTTTTGGTTTGGATTCAGTTCAGTTATTATGTTAGGGTAACGAGTAAGTGCAGTGGCAACTCAAGCAAAAAGCGCGTGAAATCAAATGATTAACTGAGTGGAAATGGGGTGGAGTGGGGCTAGTGGGGGATGGCTGAGCAGGGGGTTAACTCACCGAGGGCGGCTGGTGGGCATGGTTCACCTGGCCGACGAAGGCACCATACTGCACGGTCTGCACTTCGTTCTGCATAAAAGAGCGCTCGCCTATGGTTGAATTCATCGAAAGGAAAAGGAGTTTGGTAAAAAAAATAAAAACATAAATTAGCATATACAAGAAAAGCAATTCAAAAATACATCAAGCAAATAGCTAACTTATTTTGTCGATGGTTTTTAATAAAACAAATATATGAAAACAACCTTTTAGTGTCACAGTGTTAAAAAGTTTAGACTCAAAAGACCATTACATTAAAATATTGTATTAGCCAGTCATAAACTTTAATTTTAATAAACTATTTTTTATTTTGCTTGTTTTTTGTTTGTTTTATAAAACATAGTTTGTTTCGTGTTCAAATAATAAAGAAACATCGACATTTGTTCACTAAATAAATACAGAAAGCTAAAGTGCTTAAATTAAAGTGAATAAAACTTACCATCATAGGGGCGCATTATGCCCGGATGAGCCAAGCTCTCCACATTTAGTTGTTCCATGCGATTAGTTTCGTGTTGCAAGAAGGTGGCCCTATGAGCAAACAACAAATGATTAAAACTTAAATTTTAATATTAAACATCTGTAACTTACTTGGAAGGTGCCACTGACTCCTCCACCATGGTGGAACCCTCATCGCCCTCGATTCCAAAGTGGTCCTTGGTCTGTTTCTTCTTCAGGATAATGTCAATATAGCCAGCAATGAGCTGGACAATCTGCTCGGCCTCCGTCGTCTGCACCGAGTAGTACTGATTGGCGTAGTCGCCAAAGTCCAGGGTGAAGGTGTTTGGCGAGGCGCCCCAACGTCGCACTGTGGTCAATGGCCACGAGATGAGAATCTCTTTGGTGCGCTCGTCCAGACGCAGCACCGAGTCCTTAGTCACGCCCAACAGACGGGGCACCAGCTTGTTCTTGCCATTCATCTTCTCCTTGACCAGAAAGAAGGTAACGCCGTAGGTGGGCAACTCCCGGGCGGTCTTGGTGTACAGAACTTTGGCGTTGATTTCGGAAAGTTCCGAGTGCTTGCGGTGCTCCGCAAAGACTTTCTTCTCAATGCCCTTGACGCGCACATAGGACTGGGGCAGAAAGTCCTTCAAACTAGTGGACAGATTTTAAAGAAGTCAGTTTATGCTATATACACATATAAAGAATGTTACTTACTCTAGAAATCCGGGCTTGTGCTTGGCCTCATTATGCGGTCCGAATTGAATATGCACTTGGATACCAGCGAACTCGCAAGCTGGGAAATTAAATCGCTATTAATGGGGTTTCTTTAGAGGCTTAGAACACTTGACCCACCTTTATCGTGGGTCACAGGATGCGTGCCATCCAGAATGGCGTCCCTGGCCTGCACATACAGCAAATTCAATTGCACGGGGTCTCGGGAATCGATGTTCTGGTCCGAGAAGAAGAAGCGACGGCGCAGCAAAACAGTCTCTGCCTCGTCAATGCCCTGCTCCCTCAAGGTGCGACTCACATCCACCCAGTTCACTGGAAATGTAAGGTAAGTTTAATACCTTAACTTCAAGTGACTTAACCATTAACCTACTCTCATCATCCGTCTTCAGTTTCTTGCGCAAACTCTCCATTTTGGCATCGCGATCCTTCTCCATAATCTTGCGCTTTAGGGTCAAGGTGCCAAACTTGTTGTCCGGCAGATTCTCGTTCTGCGCCTCGTTGTCCTCGCGCACCAATCCGTATTCCTCGTGATTGGTGATGCCGATCTTGGTGCAGATTACCACCATGAGCTGCGACACCGGCTGGGAGTCGTCGACCAAAATGGTTTTCACAGCTCCGTCCAGCATGCGAACACGCAGGGTGCGTAGCTTGCGGCGGTACTCCAGCGTGTCCTGGTTGTGCAGAATGTAGTAGCCCAGGGTGCGTCCGGCTTCCAACCAAACGCCCTGCTGGTTCTGCTCGTCCGAAATGAACAGGCCATATTCGCTAGCTGTTAAACAAGGGGGAAATGTTTTATTTAAGAGCAAATCTGCTTAAGATATTTAAAGGTTTAACTTACGTTGTCCTTGCACTGCCTCGGCGAACTTATCGCGGATGACCTTGCAGGCATCGAAGACTGTGGTGTTGGGCTGGAACTGTATGGTCTTGGTCACCCGACCACCCTCCAGCTGGATGCGCAGCGATAGCGTGGACATCCTGGCGTCGTCTTTGCTGCTTCACTTCGACTCTCTCTGCTCCTTTTTCTCTACTCCTCTCTCCTCCGCCTCGTCGTCGTTTCCTTGGGTAAACTTCCAAGGATGTGGAAAATGAAAAAGGCACTGCAATAGGGGAGTAGGAAAATTAGGGATTAAAAGCTGTTTTTGAGTACTAAAATCACTAATATCTTAAGGGGGATGAATCCTGTTTATGTTTTTGCTTAAAGAAGTGTGTTTGGGAATAGAAGAATCTAAACAATGTTCATTTTTTTTAAGGAATAAACTATATCCGTCTGTCTTGTCTAAAATCATAATATTATTTTTCTCGTTAAAACATTTCTGGTTTAAAAAATCTTTCATGATTTAACCAATTTTTCATTGGAAAGAAAGTGGATATTGCAATACACTTATATGGTATTTAGGGTTAAAGACCCATATTAAAATAGAGTAATATTCCAATTTGGAGATACAAGAATCTAGACAATAACCCATTTTTTGACCGAATAAACTATTTCTATCTGTCTTGTCTAAAAAAAAGGTGATAAAATATTAATTTAATCGATTAAACATTTCTAGTTTTCAAAAAAAAACAAATTTCTCATGGAAAAGAAAGTGGAGTTTATTAAAATAATGTATTGCTGTACACTTATATGGTAATTTGGGTTAAAGACCCATATAAAAATATAGTAAAATCCAAATTGAATGTACTTAACAGGACAAACTGAAAGTGGAAAACAATAACCAGAAAAGCCGAAACCAGAAACTCTGAGTTGGGAACCGTGAAACAGCGACCGAGGCCGACACCAAAACCGAAACCACCCCCAAAGGATATCTTCCGGCGGAGGAGCAGGGGCGGTGGCGATGGCAGCCACCACCCAAAACGCAGACGACCGATAAAATTGCTGATGAAAATCTTCTCTAGAACCATACACACACCCATACGGATGCAAAGTTCACACAAACAGGGGAGAGGGCAAAACAGGACACTTGAGTTGCCAAATCAAAGCCTGAAAGCCCATTGTAGTTGCCTCCTGGGGTAGCAAAGTAAGCCCACTCTGGCGACATCTCCAACTCTCTCCGTCCTCCACTCCACTCCACTCTCCACTCTCTCCATTATTAGGCTTTGGATTTTAAGCCAAGAAGTTCCCTTAATAATGCCATTCTCCATCCCCGAAAAGCGGGCGTAATTGATTTTCTATCGCCCGCCTTTCGATCCTGCCAACGTACAAAGACAAAAGCTGCCTCTAAGTGTGTCAGAGTTCGGGTGGAAAAACGCTGCCATTATTGTTTTCTCTAGCATGCAAAAATCAATAATTTACACAAATGTTTTGTTTTTCTTTCTTTTTTTGTGGGAGACCACACACACACACACAGGGAAAGAGCAAGAGGAAGCACTTGAAATTTCCGGCAGACGACACACACAAAATCACGAATAAACTATCACAATTACTTTTTCGATTGGGACCACAGGACGACGGTTCCATATGGCGGCTGTAGCTGTGGCTGTGGCTGTGACTGTGAATGGCACCGATTGTCGGCATCCTGCGGCAGGAGCAGCACGTCTGCTTTCCACGGAATCTGGCACGAAAGTGATGAAAAGGCTGACTCAACGCTGCGGCTGAACCTGCGGCAGAGGGATGCTGCTCCGTCGACGTCGGCGTCAGCATCAGCATCCCCTTTTGGTGTCTAGGACATCCTGGTCTGGTCTGCTCTGGTGGTGGCAAGGATTTGGGCAGAGAAAGTCGGGGAGAGCGCAGCAGAGAGCAACGCCTGCGCAGTGCTTTCTTTGGAGAGTGAGAAATTTCAGACGAAAGGGTGCAGCCAGTGCAAAGTCACCCCATCTGCGGCAGTGGAGAGTTCTCTCTCACTCTCTCCCCTTTCTTACTTTTTGCCTTGGAGACTTGGTAGACTTTTTAGAGCGCCTGAGTGGCGCCAGCCGGCCAAAAAGTATCCGAATCCTGCGCAGCATCAGCCGGAAAATGAGGGTGGTGAATGGGGAAAACGGTGGCTAGAAACCTCTGCGTAATCCGATACTTATCTACAGTGCGCGACAGCAAAACAGGTTCAAATAGAAGCGAAGCACTTGGAAAGGGCTTATTTGGCTTTCAAATTAACAAACGCGAATGGTGGAGTTTACATTTATAGCACTTTACTTTCTGTTTGTGGGTTTCTGTGGGTTTCATATTTTAAAAAAGGTTGTTTCATTTTTCGTTTTACAAAAATTTTTGTTTACCAAATTGGTTTTGCTAAGCCACTTTATTGCTTTTTTTTTTAATTTGATAATAAAACATTTTTAAAGACGCAAATATAGCAAAAATTAACAAAAAAACAGACTACTTTCAAGACTTCACATCCGTTTTGGTTTTAAAAATAACTTAACTTTTCAGTTTATAGCAGCAATGCTGTATTTTCGTTGACTATTCATACTTAAATAAGTTACTAGACACCATCTATCAACCCATATAAAAGTGAGTATTGTAACAAGATACAGACCATTAATTCAATCAACATTATATGCCAAAAAAGAGAAAGGAGCCTCAACTCACATGTTCCTACAGAATAAAAAAAAAAAAAAAACGAGTAAGAGAAGAAAAGCTGTCAGAGTCACGTCAAGCAAATTGATAAAGGACAATGAATGGATAGATGGAAAGACAAACAAGAATATACATAGAGTCAGGATAGTCTTTATCTAGCTGAATGAGCCCTCTATTTAAACGGTATTGCATTCGCCGTCGGTCTTGTTTTGTAAAGCAACCACCGACAGCAAATTACAGATGGCTAATAAAACATGGTAATCAAGGAAATATTCGTTAATTTTAGTGCAAACTGAGCAGGCGGCGTGAAAAGGCGAATATGGCCTGCGGCTGCCACGAATTTTCACAGTGGGCGCTTGGCCCAAGCTATTTACCCTCCCCCTCCAACCGCCCGCACTGCGATGTCTCCTCCTCCACAGCTGGCCACCAACCGATACCATCCGAATGCAAATGGAACCCATGCAAGGAGTCGGCGGTGGAGTCACTAATTGGCAACCACTTTCCATCCAGAAGTCACACTGAGCTGCTAATGGATGTAATTTACTGCCGACAACGTTTTTCTATGAGCACAACTAATTAATTGAGTGTGGACCTGGATCGCAAGGCGGCTTATGGATTTTAACATACAGGGCAATTTTTAAAGTAATCTTTTAAAAGTTCGATTTTAACAAATTTGAAACTAAGCTAGTTTGACAAAAATGAAGCCTTAATATGAGAAGTACCCATTAATAAATTTAAGTTTTAAGGATTAAATTTTTGATTGAAAAGTTGATATAGAATGTGTTGACAAATCCTTAAAAGAAACCAAAAACCATTTTTTATTTATATCAGAAATTCAAATTTTTAAATTATTATTTAGCTTTTTTTATAAAATTTTTGATCTAGAATTGTAGTAAAATCCCTAAAATATTTAGATAAATCCTTTTAAGAAACTCGTTTTAAAAAGTACCAGTACTGTTATTTCTATACGTTTATAAGTTCTACTTACTTTTCAAACACTTTGTAAAACTCATCGTGGGATCTTGTTTACAACGATGTTCTTTCGTAGATGTTAATAAGTTTGTTCGTGGGTTGACGATCGAAAAACGTTAAGGCACAAAGCTTACGGTTACGGTTTTAGGTCTAAACGCTTATAAAGGCACGCTCGGGCGTAGTGTGTTTCTTTGTGTGTGGTGTTGGGTGTGTTTTTTGGTGTTTAACAAGATCTTTGCGATCGATCGGTTGACGTTGTCATCGAAAGGCATTACGGGGTGTCGAAAGGGGATTTTAAAAATCGTTGACTGCGACGGCAGCGCTGGGTCAGGTGAGTCCTGCGACTCCTGCGAGTCCTGCGGATCCTGCGGGGCAACTGCTCGACGAGCTGAGGCACGTTTGTGGTGTTGGCAACGGAGCGTACCGTTTTTGTACAAAATGTGTACGGAACCGAAACTGAATTTACAAATACTCAACACAAAACGATGGCAAAAACCGCTAACAATTTGGAAAATCTTAAAAAACGCGTATACATCATAATAACGTGGGAATTCTCAATGTTCTCAATTTTCGTTGGCTTTAACAAATAACGTTTAAAATTTTCGAGTTCTCTAGTGTAAAAGCTTTCTTTGTGTAAATGGTGTAAAGTATATATAAACGTCTGACTTTTGTGTATATATTTTTTTTTAAAAACGTGTAAAGCTTGGTAACAAATTTTAATAGTTTTTTTTTGTGTTTTTTATTTTTGTTTTAATGTTTTTTTTTTGTGTTATTTTTTGTTCTAAGGCAAATTAGTGGCAGAGTTTTGAGCGGCGATTGGATCGCATTGACTTAAGGTCTATCAAAAGTAAAGTATCTGTCCAAGGCACTCGACGACAACAACGCAGTGTGTGTGTGTGGTGTGTGTTTGTGTGTTTTGAAAAGTTAAGAATACTTCTTAGGGATAAGGCACGAACTATGACGAAAAACAGGAACCGAAACGGTACAAAAGGCACTTGACCGCTTGAAACTTAACGAATTGGTTTTTAAAAACTCAACAAGAACTCAGGCACAAAACGGTTGCAGAACGCGGTTGACTTGGCACTTTTTCTGACTTGGTCTCTGAGCTGGCAAGTCCTGCCCGATCAGCGGCTAGGCCTAGAATGATGTGCTATGCCGGCGACACATCGTGAGCTTCTGATGTCAGCATCATCCATTCCACTAGTCGTAACCGTTGTGTGAATCCGCGACTCAACGGCGTCGTCCTGGCGGCACATCGGCGCATGCTCCGCGGACAGGATGCCAGGATGCTGGGATGCTGGGATGATGGGATGCCGGGATGAGATGGCATGTGCCTGGGTTACCCTCTTGCCTGGCTGCGCGAAAAGGATGTGAGTAGGTGGGCTGCTGTGCGAGATCGTAAAAACTGCCTATCCTCCGCTGCCAAAACGGGGAGGGTTTGGGTTGCACAGTAACATTTTGGCTTTTTCACTTCGCTTTCTTGGTTTTATGTGTGCGGAAAATCCACCACCAACTGGGAGCGCCCAATGGGTGGCAATGGACCGCCAATGGCTGAACTTCGCTTTCGCCTTATGTACAACAGAAGAATTGTTTTTGCCAAAGCCCATTTACATGGCCAAAATTGTATAAATTAAACTTGGCTCTTTTTTGCGCTGGGGGAAACAACAACAACATCTCGTCGGGGCATGCAAAATGAATAATGGTTAAAGAATACCGGGAAATCGGACAGCGGGAGATCTCTGCTTTCTAACTTCTCTTTAATTAATCTGATTTGCTTGATTAATTGTAACCGAATGAGTTAAGTAAATTTCGTCCATAGCACAGTGTGCAACAATCTTTAAGATACAATTGAGTATCGTCCTATCGCCCCAATCTCCACCCACCACTCCCACTTATCTGTGCAATCGCTGTCGACATAAAAGCGAACGGAGAACAAAAAAATAAGCTCGACTGGCGCGACATTCTGGCGCCAAAGCCACCATTTTGTCTGGCCATATAACCGAAGTGTGTGTGCTTCGTCCTGATGCGCGTGTGGCTGCGTAGGAGTCCTGTGGTGGCCGCCAAGGAATCTGCACAGTTTTCACTTGTCTTGGGACACGACGTTTACTCCTTCGCAGCCATGTTTTCCCTCTGATTGCTTTGCCTTCTTCCCTTCCCGTCCCTTCGGAAAGGATAACAGAATGCCATCGGGCAGCGCCAATGTGGAGCCTTTTTATGTAATTTGCACAGTTTTTATTCTTGTTTGTTAAGTGGAAAAATAGAATTTGCCCAGATACAGTGGACTCGTCTGAGGCATAAAACAGAGCCATAAAGTTTAAGAAGGCATTTTTCTTTTTTATAGGTAGATATTGGCCGTTAGATCTCCTTGATTAATTGTGTTTTTCAGTGCGACCAAAGCAGCAGTTTTCTCACTATCCAATAAAATGACAAATGTTATAAAGATAGATAAGGATGATGGTCAAATAAATACAGGTTGGAGTTTTTTAACTCGTATTTTCTATCGTGCCTGTAAAAAATCGTCGTGAGATCAGCAATTTTGGTAACTTTCGTTGAACAGAACAAATTAGATTGTCGATAAAACACTCAAAAATAATTTTTTTTTGATGTCACAATCAAAACATCCCATCAAACATTCTTTTAAAAGCCAAAGATATGATAAGGTTAAATATAAACAGGCAAAAGTAGGTGTCATATGCCAAATAAGACAGTGAATAAGTCGATGGCAACGCTATTAAAATAGAAAGTAAACACTAAACAGCACTTCCTTCCTAATCTTAAAAGTAATTATTTGATTATGCAAATATTGTTAAACACCTTTTACTTACCTCAAATTCGTTGTTGGCCGCTTATCTCCGGCTATTGGTTTGTTCGATTTAGTTTCAGTTGTTAAGAAGATAGTGGAGAAATGTGTTTAACGAAAGTTGTTTGTTGTGTGTCCGCCCGTGTGTTGTTGTGTGTGTAAGTGCTGGCAGTGTTAAGTGTGTGGTCGTTGTCGTTACGTTGTTTGTTTCTTCGTTGCTTGTTGCGGTTGTCGTTTGTTTGATTTGTTTGTTTAGAAGATCTGCAAATAGAAGAGCAGAGCGAACGGTTAAAACTGCATTTGCAAACCTGGCGGCAGGAAAATCTCTATCTATCCACAAAGTTGCCACTGTGGCAACTTCAAAGCCCAAAGCCATCCACTCCAAACTCCACAAAGCATTTTTCCTGTTTTCATTTTCCATATTAGCACAGCTCGACCTCGGCGCCGATGGGTGGATGAGTCTGTTAGTCTGTTAGGTGGGGCAAGTTGGAGGTGCAGGGTAGGGGTGGGCCGCCGACTCGAAGCCGATATAGCTGCACATATATGGCTAGATGTCGGCATTGCGGTTAATGCCACCAAGGCAGCCGGAGCAAGAGCAGCCACCGATATGTGCGCACATAGAATACCATTCCAAGAATGCTGCACCAGACTTTTCCATTAGCGTTCGCACATCGCCAGCGACTTTTGTTTATAGCAACAAAAAATATCAATCAACACCCAAAAGCCCAAAAGAGTGCATCAATGGAGCAGAGCGGGATCGGGCAAAGAGTCGGAAGGATCGGATAGAGAGTTGTCAGCTGCAGCTGGTCAAGAATGCGGCTGCTGTCTTCACCATTTCTGACCATTAACCCTCTATATAACCACTAGAGTGTTTTTAAAAAAAAAATCTGGTAGATTTCTGTATACAAACAAAGGACTTCTTTAAAGTTCTTAAAAATGGCACTAAGAATTTGATAAACAAATATTAAAAGATATTTGATTTGACGAACCACATTTTAAGTTCAAAACAAAAACGACACTCTACTGATAAAAACGTATCATTCAGCAAACTTTCCAGAGAATGAGTAATTTGTTAGCAGTAGCTTGAACAAAATGTAAATGTAATCAGACAGCTTTTTAGAGATCAGAGCCTTGTTAGTCATAAATAAATAAAAAATTATTAAAGATACTATTCATTTAAATAATGAGTCAAACATATAAAACTTCAGAAATGTTTTAGTAAAAGTTTTTCGTTACCATAAAACAAATAATAGTTTGTAATATTTTGGCTTCAAATAATTTCCTAATATTTTATTTAAAGCCATTTGGTGACAAGAGTAACCATGGGGTTAAAACCACTCGGCTTATATGCCCCCAACCGAGTCAATTACAGGTGCAGGTCAGTCCTCAACTCATTGGCAAGACAAAAGCTTGGGGCGTGGGCGCCTCCCACTGATCTCCTGGCCCCCTTCCAGCCTCCCCCACCCCTGCTCCGTTCAATGAAAGCGAAAATTCGATTGTGGGCGTTGGACAAGTTTCTGTAGTTTCTGTAGTTTCTGTTTAGTAGGTCGACGGCTGATTGCGTTTGTACATGGGTTGTTGGTGGGTATGTATTTCGTTCTTCGCGGGGCAATCAAAATTACAAAACGATAGTGTCACGTAGTTATAGCGAACACAATCTGAGACCTTGGCACGATTCTGCCATGCAGCCAGATGTCGGGTTAGGTGCTCAGGCACGTTCTACAATGCCGAACCTCCGAGCTGCTGAAAGGGTTCCCGAGTGCTTTATGGCCAAGACAGACAACATGGACACGCCAGATTAAGAGGAACTGTTGAATAGGTTTATTGACCCGAGGACAAGGAAATATGCGGAGATCCGAGATAAAAACCGGCGGATATTCATGCTGCTCTCGAGATACTCAGGTCAAGCAAAGTACCTCTCTTCATAAAATGTTTACTATTTTATGAAAAGATTTAATTAAATTTATTACATAATTTTCTCTTTTATACAAATGACTAAGAAACAAATTTCCAACTAATAAATAAGCTAATCTTCATTATTGGATTAAGCTTTTAAAATAGCTGTCTGTCACCCCATGTCAAAAAATACTAATAATGTACACACATAAAGACAAATAAAATAATACATCATACATGCGGGCGGAGGATGACTACACATGCAAGTGCTTAAATCAGCTTCCAATGCTATAAATCATATCACAACTCAAAAAAAAGAAAAGTAGAGAAAGGGAAAGGAGAATTTAAATAAACTGCCAGAGAAAATTCAACGTGAAATGTGTTCAAAAAAGTTCCCTATACGATAAAAGAAAAACAGATTTTAATTAAACCAAAACAACATTCAGACCTCATACGCCATACTAGTTGTGCCCAATCCTACATTCATTCTATATATATATGGAACGCTATAAATACCGAGCATAAACGAGAACTTTCAAGGTAAACAAAGTAATATTTGTGGAGCAGACAAATCTCTTGGATTTTCCATTCGATGCGCACCCAAATCAATGAACAGTGTTGAAACTGAAAGTGTGAAGAAAGGCAATCCCCACGGATCATAGTTGCCCCCTGACCAAAGTTGTGGCACGATTTCCATGCAAGACTGGAAATAGAACACTGCCACCTAAGCGAAGAGTCCGAGGTTCCCAAAAAGTAGTCATTTCTCCCCCAGGCGATCACATACAACACAGATCTTTAATCCAATGAAATAGTCCCCCTGCAGAGCTTTCACTGTACTTGGCTGGTGGTGACGATGATGATGATGATGATGATGATGATGATGACGATGATGATGCTACTCTTGGCTCATTCATTTGCTCATACCCTGAGTCATAGCTGAATTTATAGAAATTTCAATTTTAGTGTACTACACGGGGCCAGTTTAGAGGTCCAACAGATGGCCAGAGCGA